CTCCACAGGTACCTTTACCCTCTGAGCCATCTCCCTGGGAGATTTTCTTTTTCCTTTCTTTTTCTTTTATTCTGTATTATTATTATTATTATTATTATTATTAGGTCAGGGTTTCATTGGCTAGTGTTGAATTCCTGGAACATATCCTGCCTCAGACTTCTGATTGTTGGGATTTCAGGTATGCACTACCATGCCTTGTTAACATTAGATTCTCCCTCTCTCTTTTTATTTTTATTTTATGCGTATGAGTGTTTTGCCCCAATGTATACCACATGTTTTCCTGGTGCCTGTGGAGGCCAGAATAGGGTGTTGGATGCCTGGAACTGGAGTTACAGGTGGTCGTGACCTACCACATGGGTGCTGGGAACTGAATTGGGTCCTCGTGAGCAGTAGGTGCTCTTAACTGCTGAGCCGTCTCTCCAGCCCCCAGCATCACCAGATGCTTTCTGTGTTGGGCTGTTTAGAACTCTGTGCTGCTGGGGTGAGAGTCCTAGGCTCTAACATTCCAGAAGCTGCAATGGCTGGGCTGGGCTGTCGGGAGAAAGGGGAGCCCTCTAGTCTATGTCAGGAAGGAGGAGAAATGAGTGGGCTCAGGGCAGGAGTGACACAGTGGCAGAAATGATTCCTTGAGTTCCATTGTTGCACAGTGAGAAGAAGGTGAAGGCCCTGGGTTTGGGGGTAAAGGAAGACAGCAGCTCTTGTCTCCGGTAACATTGGGGGTGGGGTTTAAAGCAGACTGTGCCAAATTATGGATCAGAAACCTCCAAAGGGAATACTTCCACCTTTGCCTATAAAATGGTAGAAATAGGTATTTTGTGGGAGCATTTGACGACCAGATAACGGGAAGTGGGTGTAGGTGGACTTTTCTGTCCCGTCCAGCCAGTTCCCAAATAACCACACAGAGATTTATTATTAATTACAAATGCTCGGCCAATAGCTCAGTTTGCCACGAACTAGCTCTTACAACTTAAATTAGCCCATATTTCTTGTCTATGCTCTGCCACGGGACTTGGTACCTTTTCTCAGTAGAGAAAGTTTATTTCCTGCTTTCCCTGCATCTCCTTGCCACTCCCAAGACGCCTCTTCTTTTTTTTGCTCTCATTTTATCAGCCAGTCCTGCCTAACTTCTACCTGTCCAGCTATTGGCCAGTCAGTTTCTTTATTAAACCAATCACAGTGACATATCTTCACATAGTGTAAATGAATATTTCTCAAGGGGGTTTGGGGCAAGAATTCAGGAGCCGTCCAGTGGATGGCAAAGAGTAATTTGCTATTCTCCGGTAGTGACTGTTACTTTCTCACGACACTTGCTGTGTCGTGACTTGAATACAGTCTACTGTGACACAGAAGTCATGGTGGCATGTCAAAGTCATGTTTTTTCAGTGAGCGAGCCCTTATCTGAGCCCTATCAAGAGCTTTATAGCACTGAATTGTTTTCAGTAAACATTATCTCACAGCTGCCTGCTCCCAGGCCGAAGGGGAAGTGGGTCTCTGTTCAAGGTCTGGTGTCCCCACAATTCACCCCTTTTTATTTTTAAATGAGGCACTCCTGGCTTAGGTCAAGTAGGGTCACCCTCCCTTTCCCGTCCTCGGGGGACCTTGAACCCCTGTCTTAGGTGGGAGGGGTCTTCCACACAAGTTGCCCGTCACCAGAGTCACCCCAACCTTAGAATCATTTGTAATAAGGCTTTATGGCTATTGGGATTGCCATGGGCTAAGGCACTTTGAACTCAGCATGAAGCCAGAATGCCTAAGGCCATTGTTACCATTCCTAGGACCCCTACTGACATAGCGCCTCTCTGTCACCTGCCCATCCCCCCATATGGGCCATAGCATTCTACCACCAGCCTTTCTTTGCTACAAGGGTGATTTATAGTTACAATTTGACGGTTAAAACAGTGATAAAGTTTACAATCATTTTAAGATCTACTTAGGAAAGCATTAGAGAGTGCACTTGCACAGATACATTAGGTACAATCATTGATGTTACACATGTAGCATTATAAAAAATATGAACATGAAAGACCCCAAAAGGGATACTTTCACGGAAGGGAGACCCGAACCCAAGGAACAACGAGACCACGAGCTTGGATGCAACAGCAAGAGGCTTTATTGATAATACACGGGTACCCGGGGCGTCTCAGTCTCGGGAACTGAGAGCCCCGAGCTGGGGACTCGGGGATTCTTTTATAGCAAAAAGTGCAGTACAGAAGCGAGAAGCCTAGTTACAGGACCCTGATTGGGCAATTTAAATGAGGCTGGGGCTCAGAACGAGGGCAATTGAGGTTTTGCTTGGAACTCAAGTCTCGGCCTTGGCCCTATCTGAGGAACAATAGGTCTCTGTGCTTGTCCAATCTTGCTGGGCTGGCTATGCAGACAGCAGACACCTGTGTCCCTGGGCAGAGTTCCCTTCTGATAGTAGTGACTATTCAGCCATTCAGCCATTAGGACCTTGAGCTGAGCTCCCTTCTGATAAAAAAATGACTATTCAGCTGAGCTGTGGGGGAAACGGAATTTTCCATAAGCCTCAGCTGCCTGTGTATACTGGGCCGGGGTCTTTCAAACAAGAGGCTTGTTGCACTATTTACAGAGTACCAATTTGTTCCTGTGGTGATGTAGTCTGTCGATTTAATGTCAGTAATATCAGCCGAACATGCAACCCGAGTCAAAGTCTTTTTCTCGCACCAGGACAAACCACATTTCTCCAGAAAAACACACTGGCATAGGTGTGATTCTAGAAACAGGAACCACCAAGTCTGATATTTTAAGTGACCATGTCCTGTTCAAATACTGAAAAGAGGCTTTTGTCACTCATCACAGTCCATACCAATGTCCAAATGTTTTAAATGGGTCCTTTTTTCCCCCAAAGGGAAAAGCTGGCAAAATGAATTCTGTTGTTTTAAGGTGTATCAAAGGCTAGCTGCTAATCTTCCAGTTTTGTTGCCTTTGGGATGAAAACTCACAGGTCCAGGAGGTTGATGTAGCAGGCCTGATGAGAAACTGGAAATCTTGAACTGACTGTTTTATTTCTTTCTCGGGCTGTAGATTTGATGACATCAAGGGTCAGGAACACTGATTTAGGAGATCTCGAACTGGCTTGGGCAGGCTCCCATGGTCTCAGGTCCAGTTTTCTCTGCTCCATGCATCTCACCAAATGTTGTGACAGCTACTGAAGCTTTATTCTTTTTCTGCAAGAAAACACAAACATGCCCTCGACCCCAAATTAGGGTCTTCTCCACTGTCTAGTGTATGGATGTTTTCATTTGACCTGAGCAATAGTTGCTCAAGTTTCATTATGCCAGAATCTGTCTGAAGCAGATTGCTCACTGGCATTTACATTTTAAAATTTTTTAAATGAGGAGTGGATTATTCAATGAATCATGTGGGGACTGGGGACATTACTCCCCCTTTTTTATTTTTAAATTTTGTATGAACTGTTGAAGTTGGACCATAACAGTAGAAGGATTTGTCTACCCTCCTTAGTCAACTATTTAGGTGAATTGGGATCACTATTTAAAGTATTAGTAAATGTCCTTTAAAAGGGACATAACCATTAAGTACCTTTGAGAATCATTTAAGGATTGTAAACTATACTATGTCCCAAATAGTCACTTTTTTTTTTCCTAACCTGTAGCTCTCACTAGCTGACTAGGCCTCATTTGCATCTGAGTTGACAAGGCCTAATTTGCATCTACACAGACACCTTTGGGGGTGGGGCCTGCCAAAGCAGCAGGGCAGTTCCCTGAAAAAAACCTCTCTCTCTCTCTCTCTCTCTCTCTCTCTCTCTCTCTCTCTCTCTCTCTCTCTCTCTCTCTCTCTCTCTCTCTCTCTCTCTGAGTGAGGAGACTGGTCACATTGCTTTTGCAGGCTGGAAGCCGAGAGCCATGAACCAAGAGCTGAATTTCCTCTTCGTCCCTTTTTTAATTAACCCAGGGTCTCAGCCCACGAGATGGTGCCACCCACAGGGTGAATCAGCTTCTTAGTTAAACCTCACTGGAAACGCCCTCAGGCATGCCCAGCATTATGTCTCCTAGGTGATTTTACTATTTATTTATTGAAAATAAATTTTTCATATGCTATATTCTAATCATGGTTTCCCTCTCTCATCTCCTCTCAGATCCTCCCTGCCCATCCAACTCCATGCCTTCTTTTTCTCTCTCTTTAGAAAACAGGCAAATAGGGCTGGAGAGATGGTTCAGAGGTTAAGAGCACTGACTGCTCTTCCAGACGTCCTGAGTTCAATTCCCAGCAACCACATGGTGGCTCACAACCATCTACAATGAGATCTGGTGTCCACTTCTGGCCTGCAGACATACATGCAGACAGAACACTGTATACATAATAAATAAAAATAAATTGTATAAAAAAGAAAACAGGCAAATATAAAATAGTAAATCAGAATAAAACAACAAACAGAAAAAAACAGAGACAAAGTATGAGAAACATGTACACAGAGATATACACATACAAAAACAAAACCCATAAAAACACAAAATCAGAAACCCTAACGGTATGTATGCAACAGACCAGTAAGGTAAAACAAAACAAAACAAAAATGCCCAGACAACCAAGTGTTCAGAGAAAAAACTCCCTCAAATGCCATTGAGTCAACTTTGTGGTGGCCATCTATTATTGGGCATGAAGCCTGACTTCAGTGTAGTGTGTATACCCGGCGAGGCTTCGTTTGGGGGAAAAGCTAATTTTTCCTTTGTAAGCGGATGACCACTGGAGGTAGCTTCTGGGCTAGAAATGGGGGTTCCTGTCGACTTGCCCTCTCAGCACGGGCACCCCATCTGCCTTGGCCCTGTCCAGGCTCTGTGTATGCTGCCAGGGTCTCTGTGAGTTGGTCTGAGTGTCAGTGCTGTTGTGTTTAGAAGACACTGTTTGGCGTCCTCCATCCCCGCTGGCTCTTATCCTCTCCCACATGGTTGCCTGATCCCTGGGAGGATGAGTTTGAGGAAGACATCCCATTTAGGACCCAGTGTTCCAAGGTCTCTTACCCTCTGCGCATTGCCCAGGAGTGGGTCTTTGTCTTAGTTCCCATCTCCTGCAGGAGGACGCCTCTTTGGTAACGACTGAGCAGGACTCGGATCCGATTCACAGTTTGGGGTCGTCGGTGGCTTTAGATGGAGCCAAGTGGACAGTGACATTGGAGCAGCCTCCCTACTCTCAGCCGGCTCTGTAGACTTGGACCAGCTGAAGCTGGGAGGAAGGAAAGAGCGGAGCAGCTGACACCGATAATGCTGGCAGGAGAAGCATGCAGACCTTGGCTCTCCCTACATTCTCTTCCTCTAGTCTGGACTCCCCAGGACACAGTTGTTCTCCAAGGGAGCAGCCAGGAGGAGAAGGCAAGAAGTCACCCTTGAACTAATGGAAGCCATGTTACAGGTTAGTTTGTGTCTGTTCTCCTTTATGAGATGGGGTCTTGATGATTGGCACTGAGTAACACGACTTTGGAAATTCTGTTCATAGTCTGTCCCAGGACCTGGCTGCTCCTTCTCCCACGGGCATCATCCTTTAACTGCCTAGCAAGCGATGAGGCATAGGGCCCACTCTGGAATGTTCTGTTTCCTTACCTTATGCACACTCCTTCATGATGTAGAATCTTCCTAGTGCATGGCAGGCACCTTGAATGTACCTGGTGTCACTGGTTCTTGAAAGTTAATGAGGCTTGGGCCTGATTAGTTCTTGGATGGGAGACAGAATATAACTATGGAGCCCAGGTTGGCTTCAAACTCATAGCAATCCTCCTGCCTCATGCTCCTGAGTAGTAGGATTATAGGTGTGTACCACCATGCTCTGAATGTACATTTCTTTCTTTTCTTTTTTTTTTCGAGACAGGGTTTCTCTGTATTGTTTTGGAGGATGTCCTGGAACTCTCTCTGTAGACCAGGCTGGCCTTGAACTCACAGAGATCCACCTGCCCCTGCCTCCCGAGTGCTGGGATTAAAGTGAATGTACATTTCTTAACCATTTTGGGCTCTTGTCCATGGCTTGTTTTCTTTTTTCATGAAACAGGTGTCTTGGTACTACTGAATTGGGTTCCAGGTTAGATGGACATGCATCCCTCTACATGAATTTCTGTCTCCCTCTGACCCTAAAATAATAACATGGGGTTTGTAACTGGCATCTGAATTTGAGGAAGCCTGTGACATCCAACCCTCCGTCTGTGGCATATGACACTGTCTGGGGAATGTGATCCAGGCTGGGTTCAGTTAGAGCACTGTCACCTGCTACCCACAGCAGAGATGGCTGGTTGCAAGTAGGCAGAGCCCCACATATTTTGATCATCAGAGATCAAGAAATTTTGAGGGTGTAGAAGAAAAGGAGTGTTGGGTTTTGTTGTTGTTGTATTTTTAAGTAACCTTCACCCATCATGAGTCATTTTATCCTTTCCTTTTTTCTTTTTATTTCAAGATGAGAAGCGGTGGCCCATTTTGTTGCCCAAGCTGGCCTTGAACTCCTGACCATAGGCATCTTCACCTCCCAAGCAGCACACTTAATCTCTGTCCCACTCCCAGCCAATGCTAGTTTGTTTTCTAGCTACATATTTGGGTTTCCCAGACATTTCATATAAGTGGAATGACACAAGATGTAGTCTTTTGTGTCTTCCTTCATTTAGTAACTGACTCGCAAGGTGGACAGCCACCTCTACCCCAAACAAAAGAATAAGGATGCAACAAAACCTTGTAAATGTGTTTGTGTCATCTCAGGACTCAGTGACATTCAAAGATGTTGCGGTAGACTTCTCCCAGGAGGAATGGGAGCGGCTGAATCCTGCTCAGAGGAGTTTGTACAGGACTGTGGTGCTGGAGAACTACTGGAACTTGGTCTCAGTGGGTAAGCATCCTCCCGGCGGATAATCCAGGATCTATCCTTAAGCATATTTCACATTAAAAAAATTTTTTAAAAATTATGTTATGTGCATTGGTGTTTTGCCTGCATGTATGTCTGTGTGAGGGGTCAGATCCTGAAGTTACAGAGAGTTGTGAGCTGCCATGTGGGTGCTGGGATTTGAACCCAGGATCTTTGGAAGAGCAGTCAATGCTCTTAACCTCTGAGCCATCTCTCCAGCTGCCACCTTTCACATTTTTACTACTAAAGCTTTGCTTATCGTGTCAGGGTTAGATGAGAATTTCAGTGCAGTCCGTGAATTTGATGTCTTGTCAGATGCTTGTGGTTATATCTTTAGGCAGTTAGAAACCCAGAGTTGGTGGGAATTGCAGCAGGTACGTCTGCTGTATGTTGCCTCTCTGTTCTGCTGTCCTCACCGTCAGGTGGTAACAGGGCTGGAGAAGAGCATGGCCTGTTTACTGCCGTAATGGGGCCTCAGACCTAGCGCAACTGACTCCATGATGGAAGTGCTGTTCAGGCTGTAAAATGCAGCCAGCAGACAGCACCCCCAGCTCAAATGAAACAAAGACCTAAGCCGTCACAGTCCGCATAGTTCTGGGGAAGTCTCTGAATGCACTAACCTTGCCTTTTGACTTCTTTAGCTCTGCTTCTGGCTAACTGAAGTGTGAGGACCCAGAACATGGTTTTTTTTTTTTTTTTTTTTTTTTTCCTGCTTAAAAGCTCACCCTGAGAAAGATTCAATGCTGCACTGGGATCCCAAACACCCAGTGTAGTCACCGTCTGGCTAATAAAGACTTTCTATTGGATAAAGCCCATGTCCGAGCAGTCTTCTCTGGTTGATACCCCGCAACACTGTACATGTAGAATTTAACTCTGCGAATATGTTTGCAAAACGTTTTGTTACATTAATTTGTATGGAGGGACATTGATTTTACATGAGGGGACACATGTATGCCATGTGCAAGTTGGAGGGTGACTTACAGGACTTGGACCAGCTGAGGTCATCAGGTTGGTAGCCTACTGAGCCATCTCAGTGACCCCCAAATATGTGTCTTTTTTTTTTATTAACTTGTGTTAAATCAGTGAAATCTAATGTCTTAAACTATCTTCTGATGCTTGCTATTGGAGAGACTAATATGGACCCTTGTAAGCCTGGGGACCCTATGTGTTCCTAGATGAGCTTGCTGTCAAGTTCCTTGTCGCATCCTCTTTACCTTCCTTAGACTAGTGGTTCTCATCCTTCCCAATGCTGTGACCCTTTAATACAGTTCCTCATGCTGTGGTGACACCACCACCATAAAATTATTTTTGTTGCTACTTTATAACTGTAATTTTACTGCTGTTATGAATTGTAATGTAAATATCTGATATATGACCCCCCCCAAAAGGGGCCATGGTGCACACTATAAGAATAGTTTAATTTCTGTGGGGTTGACTGTTGACAGCAGCCACTCAACTATCCCAGAGTTTTATGTAGTCTGCCTGACTTATGTGCCAAAACAACCCAAACGTAGCCATTTTTGTCTTTTTTTTCCCCATGCAGGAGCTTGCGTTTCCAAGTCACATCTGATCTCGTTACTAGAGCACGGGAAGGCGCCTTGGGACATGAGGGGTGAGGTGACAGAAAGCACATCACAAGGTGAGAATGCGAGCAGCAGGTGGAAAACCTCTCTAGGGAATGGCTCCCACCTTCAGAGGCCCCACCTCCTCGCTGGGACTTCCCAGGCATTCTTCCCAAGCCTTAGGACAACGGTCCTGGGTGTGAACAGAAGTTCCCTTGCCTGGCACGGACTCCCTTATACCTCACTCTCCTCTTCTGCCTCCCTCTGGTCTCTGTTGTAAGTCGGTTTCTACAAAGGAGAATGTCCCAGTTCCCTTTCTGTTGCTGTGTGTACGTCATGAAGCTCCCTGACAGAAGCAGCTGTGAGGCGCACGGTGTTTCTGTTAGCCTGCAAGTCCACACTAGTCCATGGCTGTGGGGAGTTCACAGTGACACGATCACGAAGCCGCTGGTCACAGCAGAGAGAGTGGAGCCTGTTACTCAGCCAGCTTTCTCTACTAATAGACAGTCCAGGGCCGCAGAGCCGAGAATGGTGCTGCCTACACCGGCAGGCCCATCAATTCAGGCAAGCAAGGTGGTTCCCCTCAGACATGCTCACAGGCCAGTCTTATCTGGACAGTCCCTCACTGAGACACCTTTCCCTAACCATCACCGATAACTACAAAACCCTACACTAACTGGCCTAAAACGTGCCACTTTTCCTGAGTTGTTGAAAGTAAGAAAATGAATGAAGCCTGAGTTGTATAAGATATAAAAAGTTTGGTACACTGGAACACAGACATATACAGGATGGACCTTAGGAGCACTGTTTTTTGTTTACGAAATTATAACCATGCAGCTGCCTTTAGGTCCTAGAGGCGCACGCCTTTAATCCCAGCACTCGGGAGGCAGGTGGATTTCTGTGAGTTCAAGACCAGCTTGGTCTACAAGAGCGAGTTCCAGGACATCCTCCAAATCCACAGAGAAACTGTCTCAAAAGACCAAAACAAACAAACAAACAAATAAAATCCTAGAGGGAGGTTATAAAGCATAGTGTGTGTGGTTGCTGAGTATCTCTGAGAGAGTTCTGAGAAGCAATAGTAATTAAATATGTCGGTAGTTAAACAAAATTAGCTGCATGTTCTAATATAAAAGCAGGAGACATGGTCCTGGAACAGTGGCTCAGTCGTTAAGAGCTGAGTTCCGTTCCCAGCGCCCACATGGCAGTTCACAGCTGTCTGTAACTCCGTGTCCAGAGGATGTGACGTCCTCTTCTGACCTCTGCAGGCACCAGGCATGTGCACGGTGCATAGATGTACATGCAGACGAGACATCCATACATACTGAATAAATAAATAAATACTTATTTTTTAAACTTATTATGTATACAGTGTTGTGGCATGTAGATGGCTGTGAGCCACCATGTGGTTGCTGGGAATTGAACTCAGGACCTCTGGAAGAGCAGCCAGTGCTCTTAACCTCTGAGCCATCTCTCCATCCCATAAGTACGTAGTTTTCAAGGTGGAAGACTGAAGTGAGTTTAGCTGTAGTCTGGTACAAATCCCGTGCTCCCTGGGAACTGCTTCTCCTAGACCTCACCTCGCACTGGGTTGTGTGTTCATCTTCCCACGCTGCCATTCCTTCCCTGCTCTTCCCGCTGCCGCATTTGTCTCTGTCACTCGGACGGCACCTGCTGTAGTCAGTGGGAGAGAGGAGGGGTTTGCTTCGGGCCTGTGGTTTCAGAGGTTCCCAGCTTTGGTCAGCTGGCCCCGTGGCTTCGGGGCTGGCGGCAATGCGGAAGCTTGGAGGAAGGGCATGGTGGGGGAAAGCTATTCACTCCTGGCAGCCGGAAAGCAAACAGAAGCCTGCCCAGGCTCCTGAGTTGTCCTTTAGTCCAGGCTCCCCGTGTACTGACTAGTGACGTCACCTACAGGGAAGGCATTGCCTCCCGAGTTAATCCGCTTTGGAAACAACCTCATAGGCACCCAGAGGCATGCTTTGCCAGTCTCCTATGCAATTTCTCATCCAGTAGAGTTGATGGTCGGTTGAAATTATTTATGACAAGCTCTATGCTTAGGGACAGCCTTGCACAGTTTACAGTTGGTATACTTGTGTGTAATTGTATGGAATTTACTAAGTAGTTGTGTATTATTTCACTTCAGATGTTTCTTTTGTTAATAGAACACATTGAGATGGGAGATCAATGCAGTATGGAATATAATATATTTGTCTACATATAGGCTGGGGGGACAGAAGGCATGGCAGGCTTCCAGAGAAAAGAGAGAGACAGAATACTTTTCCTTTCCTTAAATAGCCCACCTGTCTAATCTTCATATCTCCGCCCTTTTGGGTGGGTAGCTTTGTGGGCTACAACACATTATTGTTTTTTTTTTTTTTTACATTTTTCAGATGGAGAATCTGTACACAAGACACAAGAATTATCTCTGAAACATTTTGTGTCTGATAATGTGTCAGTGGAGAAAATGACAAGTTTTGGTTATGAGTGCCCCACTTCTGGAAAAAGGTGGAAATGTAAAGACCTTTTTGAAAGACAAATGATGAATCAAAGCATGCTATTTCACATGAAAGAAAGAGTCACTCATAAAGAAACTCACACTAAAGAAATAGGCTATAAATACTCCAAATCTTCAAAATTGCTCCTTTTGGACAATGCAGAAGAGACTATTTATAGTCACAGGTCAAATAAGAAAAGCTTCTCCAGAAATCCCAAGGCACGAAGATATAAGAAAATCTGGGCAGGAAAGAACATTTTTAAATGTAACGAATGTGAGAAAACCTTTACCCACAGCTCATCTGTTGCTGTTCACCAGAGAATTCACACGGGTGAAAAACCATATAAATGCACAGTGTGTGGAAAAGCCTTCAAACAGAGTCATCACCTGGCCCAACATCACACGACTCACACCCGAGAGAAACTCTTCGAGTGTAAGGAGTGCAAGAAAGCCTTCAGCCAGAATTCATACCTCATTGTACATCAGAGGATCCATACCGGAGAAAAACCGTATAAGTGTAAGGAATGTGCAAAATCCTTCAGGCAGCCTGCACATCTGGCTCAGCACCAGAGGATTCACACGGGGGAGAAACCCTACAAGTGCAAGGAATGTGGGAAGGCCTTCCGGGACAGCTCTACCTTCTCTCAGCATCAGAGGTGTCACAGCGACAAACGACCCTTTCGGTGTGTTGAGTGTGGCCAAGCCTTCAGGTATAACATGTCGCTAACTCGTCACTTTCGGCATCACCACGCCGGGGAGAAGCCATTTGATTGCGCTGACTGTGGGAAAGTCTTCAGTATGCACACAGGACTGACCCTGCACAGGAGAATTCACACCGGAGAGAAGCCTTACAAATGTGACGTCTGTGGAAAGGCTTTCCGCAGTGGGTCATCGCTGACCGTACACCACAGAACCCACACAGGAGAGAAGCCTTACAAATGTGACGTCTGTGGGAAAGCCTTCAGCCACAGCATGTCACTCACTGGCCATCAAAGAGTACATTCTGGAGAGAAACCTTACGAATGTAGGGAGTGTGGCAAAACTTTCCGGCAGAGTATCCATCTTGTTGTTCATTCAAGAATTCACACTGGAGAAAAACCCTACAAATGCAAGGAATGCGGGAAAGCTTTCAGAGAAAGTTCACAGCTGAGCACTCATCAGGGAAGTCACACAGAAGAAACACCTTTTGAATGTAAGCAGTGTGGTAAGTTTTTCAAAAGAAGTACCTATCTCGCCAGACATCAGAAAGTCCACACAGGAGAGAAACCTTATGAGTGTAACGAGTGTGGGAAAGCCTTCAGTTATACTGCCTACCTTGTAAGACATAAGAGAGTCCATACTGGGGAGAAACCTTACAAATGTACCGAGTGTGGAAAGGCATTTGGCGATGGCTCCTCCCGTGCTCAGCATCAGAGACTTCACACGGGTCACAGGCCCTGCGTATTCGACAAATGTGGAAAGGCATTCAGAACAAAGTCATCCCTTGACTGTCACCAAAGATGCCATACTGGAAAGAAGCCTTAAAACGGTGTCCCCTCTGGCAAATCCTTTAGCCACTGACAAACTGTTGCCATTCTTTAGAGGATTTAACTTCCAAGCAGATTGTTCATTCTATGGGGAAGGATTCACACACGTGAGAGAGCTCTTAGGAATGCAAGGACCGTGGCGAAGTCTTCAGGCAGTGTTCTTAAAATGTCCATCATGGGTGAGTTCTTGATGCTGAGTCATTTCAGGCATCCCTTTGTGTCACCAACTCCTGTGTATACACCTGCTAAGTGTTTCCATTTATTTTTGTTCCGGTTACCATGCTCCGAAACACAATTGTGTCACTTGGACTTCTCCAAATGTCTGTAATTGCTGTTGTTTCCTTCAAGTTTATCATTCATTTTACAATCAGAATCTTTTAAAAACATAAATGTTATTTATGTAATTCTTCTAAAAACTCACTGTATAATGTCTATTTAGTGGAGATGAGATGCTTAGCAACATGGTTGACTACATTAAGTTTGAATGGAGAACATCCTTCCAATGATTACGACACACATAAGCAGAGAACACAGAGGCCACACCCAAAAGGAACATGGAGGGACATTTGTGAGCTAATGCCTTTATTGGGACCGAGGGCCCAGATGGAAACAAGCAGGTATGAGTTCTGGGAGAGCATGTCATGTAGGAAGTCATCATTGTGGCACATGTGTCCAGGCCATCGGCAGCAGCTCATTTAAAGAAGTGGTGGGGGCAGGGAGCTCAGTTTGACAGGAGAAATGCTTCTAAGTTCTTACTCTTGGCACCAGCTTGAGTCGTTTGTGGACCGTGTCCTGCTAGAAAGTGTCAAGGGTGACCGACCTATGTCTCCATCATGGGGAAGTTCATTAGATAGACAGCAGGAAAACATACAGTTATAGGACGTCACTACACCGACCCATGGACAGTGCTTAGAAAACGTGTTAGATCAGCAATACTATTTCTAAACTATGAACTCTGGAGTTGGGAATATGACTTAGATGATCAGAACTGTTTAGATACTGGAAGTATCTTCAGGTAGATGACAATTAGCATGTGTATTATGCTTAAAGTTTAATAACATAGAAACTTTCTAATGTGTAAAGAAATTAAATATGGTCTGACATGTAGAACCTGTTTTGGGAAGGGCCTAGAACTTTAAATAAGACTGGAACAAAAGGATTAGAATTTGTCTGGAGAAATATGTGCAAACAAGAGAAAGAAAGGATGGCTTTCTGATGCTTATTATCAAGCCTGTGGCAGGTCATTCTAGCTGAAACAGTGAACTCCAGGTTCACCATGAGATCCTACCTCAAAACGTAAAGTGGAAGGTGATGGACCCACGTCCACTTCTGCCCTCCACAGTGCACACATGGGCAGTCACACCCACAAACGCGCACATGTGAAGACACATTCAAATCAGTAAACAACAAATAAAATTTAAAGTGGGGGCTGTGGCTGGGCTTGGTGGCACACACATCTAATTCCAGCACTCTGGAGGCAGAGGTGGGTGGATCTCTGAGTTTGAGACTAGCCCAGTCTACAGGGCAGCCAGGGTCATATAGTGAAGCCTTGTATAGCAACAACAAGAAAAGATCACAACCAGGGGCTGGAGAGATGGCTCAGAGGTTAAGAGCACTGGCTGTTCTTCCAGAGGTCCTGAGTTCAATTCCCGGGGACCACATGGTGGCTCAAAACCATGTATAATGAGATCTGCTGTCCTCTTCTGGTGTGCATAGATACATGCAGGCAGAACACTGGATACATAATCAATAAATCTTAAAAAAAGAAGAAGATCATAGCCAAGCTGAACACCTACTGTAGCAGAAAGGAAAACAGGGAGCCCAAGCTTCCACTGTGGTTGTTCTAGAGGACGAGGGGTGATTTCTGGGCAGCCCGTCTCATGGTAGGTTCTGGTGGACGGTATGCCTGCCTTTCCTTGGTTATCATCAAGTCCCCCCACACCCTGCATAATATATTTAAGTCTGCAATTGTTTTTCCCAGAGGCTTTTGCCAACTGGTTTCTTTACGGGAAACAACAACAAAGATTGGAGTCTGACAGTTGGGGGAAAACAGGGCACTTTTTCCTGACTCTTCTGCTTTGGGTGCTGCTGCTGCCGCCAGTGGTCTCCTCCAAATCCTTGCCCATTCTCTGAGTTGTTAGGGCTCCGGCTTCCATCAGGGCAGCCTGGGAGTTTAGCTCCTATAGAGGGTGTGGCTCTTGGATCATGGTAATAGTTCTATGGTTCTGAGTCTGTGGTTCTCAACCTCTTTTGGTTGCAAGCCCTCTGGGGGTTGAGCAGCATTTTCACAGGGTCGCATATCAGACATTTACATTATGATTCACAAGTAGAAAAATTACAGTTATGAAGTAACAATGAAAGTAATTTCATGGTCTGGGGTCACCACTACATGAGGAACTGTATTAAAGGGTCACAGCATTAGGAAAGTTGAGAACCTCTGTACTAATTCTACAGAGTTGGCTCCAATTTTTGTTTGGCTTATTAACTGTGGTAAATTACATAAGTTGATTTTTGAATGTTGAACTAGCTTTGCATTCCTGAATGGACGCCAGGTGGTCTTGAAGTGTCCAAATTGAGCATCCTTAATCTGAATATTTGGGATCCAAAATGCTCCAAAGTCTGAGACTTTCTGAGTGCTTCTATGACGTCAAAAGTGGCCAATTCTACTCCTGATCCCATGTAACAGGTTGTACTAAAAAAAAAAAAATAAGAAAACTAAAAGATTGTTATCAAATTACTAGGGCTGGGGAGAGGACTCAGTGGTTAAGAGCACTTGCTGCTTTTGCCGAGGACTTGGATTTGGTTCTCACAACTGCCTGTAACTCCGGTTACAGGGGATCCTATGCTCCTCTCTCGCTGCCATAGGTACTATATGCACCCAAGGCATGTAAGCACACGAAGGCAAAACACTCATGCACATAAAATACAAATAAATTTTTCAGGTGACACAATGCTACGAGATTGTTTTCGTTAAAAGAAGTTTTGTGTACAATTATCTCTAGGTTATAGGAGATGTTTGCGAAGCCTAAATGGATTTTATATTTAGACTTTGGTTTTGGCCCTGAAATATTTCGTCATGGTATGCACATATTCCTAAATCAGAAAAAGTAATGTAACACTTTTGGTCTGAAGCATTTTGGATAATGAATATTCTGCTCGCCAGGGAGTGTGTGGCACAGACCTTTAAACCCAGAACTAAGGAGGCAGAGGCAGGCGGATTTCTGAGAACAGCCTGGTCTACAGAGCAAGTTCCAGCACAGCCAGGGCTACACAGAGAAACCCTGTCTCGAGCAACCAAACAAGAAAACAATAGCATTCTGCTTACTCTGAAATGCATTGCTTGTGTCTGTTAGGTAGTTTAAATGAAGGATCATCACATCTATGTTCATGAGAGACACTAGTCTGCAATTTTCCAAGGCTGCATGGCTGGTCCATTTCTTAAGCAAGCTTGGTAATTTGTAAGTTCTTTTAAGAACTAGGTTTGTTTGTGTACCTCTCAGTGGGTATGACATTGCCCGCAGTGCTTGCTTGGTTATCTCCTAATGGGACTGGTGATGTAACTCAGTGGTAGCACACTTGCCTAGCCTATGTCAGGCTCTGGAATTGGACCCTAGGACAAAACCAAAATGAACAAAATAAAACAATGAATACATTGCCAGGTTCCATAGCAAAAGCAATCCAAGCCAGCCCCCGCCCAAATGCCTCTAAGAAAAGTATTGATGTCTGTATTTTATTAATATGTTCCCATTTCCTTTTTAAAAATGTTAGACTGAGTCTCACTGTGTAGTCCTGGTTGGCCTATGACTTGCTGCGAAGACCAGGCTGCTCTTGAACTCACAGAGGTCTGCCTGCTTCTGCCTTCCCATTGCTATTAAGGACATGTGACCCTACATCTGCCCTTTTTTTTATTTCTTGGGCAGTTTGGATCTATCTATCTATCTATCTATCTATCTATCTATCTATCTATCTATCTATGCACTGTTTTATTTATTTTTATTTTTAGGTTTTTGAGACAGGGTTTCTCTGTATTGTTTTGGAGGCTGTCCTGGAACTTGCTCTGTAGACCAGGCTGGCCTCGAACTCACAGAGATCCATCTGCCTCTGCCTTCCCTAGTGCTGGGATTAAAGGCGTGCGCCATCAACGCCCGGCCTGGTTTTATTTTTGAAAGCTTTTTGTTTCATTGATTTTTCTAATATTGTTTGGTGTTTAGCTGACTGTCTGTTGGGGACTGCTAGAACCTTGAACAAAATGGAGTCTGTCAACCGTTTCTTGGCCTTCCGCCTACGTGACTGCGAGCACACATGCCCTTGAGACAAAGGAAAAGGCTAACCATTAAAGTTAAATTTACACAGGGCAGCCCACCCGCCTAGCCAGGGGGGAAGTACCCTTACAGAGTAATTGTCTTTGTTAAACAAAAGATTATAGTGTTCTGTTAAATACTTCCTACCCCTCCCTAATTCCTGCACCTGACTTACGCTGACAAGCATTTGTGGAATGCAACTAATGACTGATGGAAAATTACAGCTTTGTCTTTACCGTATTTGGTGTATATTTGAATTGAGACTTGATTGACATGCTTGTACCACCCCCTGAGGTCCTTCCTCTATAAATTCCAGCGCGCCCCAAAAAATAAAGGCTCTTGATCAGCGAACGTTGTCTTGAGCCTGATTCCATTAACCTCTTGAAGTTCACTTTCCAGATCGGATCTGCTCGTGAAGGCCCACTAAATTAGTAGCGACCCTCATCACCTCACCCCCGCGGGTCGGGGGTCCCTTCCCGGGGGTCGCAACTGTCTCTGTCTCTCTGTATGTGTGTGTGTGTGCATGTGTATGTGTGTGTGTGTCTGTCTGTCTGTCACTTCCTCTTTCCAGCCCTTGGTTTACTTTGCTATTCTTTACCCAGTTTTTATTTTTAAGATGGAAGCTTACTTTTGAGCTTCCATTTTTTTTCTGAAAAAAAAAGAAAAGAAAATCTTTAGTTGCCAGTCACAAGTCTAGATGTGTTTGCATTTTCATTTAGTTCTAATTTTTTTTTCAGTCATAATGATTTGGTGAAAAAAAAAAGTCTACTTGGCTATTTTATTCAAGTTAGAGAGGTGATCAAATGATACTTTGATAGGTATCACCTAGTTGTGTTATTCAGAAAGATTTACTTTTAATTATGTGTGTCTCTGCGGGTATGTGCACATGTGTGTGGATGCCCTCAGAGGTCAGAAGAGGGCATTGGATCCCCTGGAGCTGGAGTTCCAGGTGATTGTAAGCTCCCAACAGAACTCAGGTCTTCTGCAAAAACAGTGTGCACTCTTAACCACACAGCCATCTCTCCAGCCCCTTGATTCTCTTTCTTTCAAAATATTTTTTATATTTTTTTTCAAAATGTGCTCGTTGATTTGATTCAATAGTTAGAGTAGTGCTAATTCTCAAATATTTTGGAGGTTTGTAAATCCTTTTATGTTAGTGTTGTGCATTCTGCTGGTTTGATACCTGACAACCAAGAATACGATATCCTTAATTTGTGCTGTCAGTCCTTTTGCCAGGATACAGAATATTTTTTACTATAATTCCTTATCGATTTATTCAAAATTAATGGGTATTCTGCTATCATGGAATTATGACAACAGACAGTGAAGAGACAAGTAGCAGTGTCTGTCAGTTATCCAGCTGTTGGTCGGTCTGATTCTGGAACAGCCTTTTCTGTTACACTGACTTGTGTCAATTCTGTTACACTTGTCTGTTCTGCACGTGCCTCAAGGCTTCCTTGGATTGCTCTAGTCAGGGAGTCATCTTAATTCAGTTACTGAGATCATGAGTTCTTTGGAAAAGGAGACCAATCTCGAGTCAGGAGATGGGGCTGGCGGTGGCTTTAATAATAGCTATGTCACTTGTGTTCTAGCCAGTGAGGTCATCTGCTGAGCAACAGCAGGGCACAGTCCCTGTTTCTACACGTGGTCATGAACAGGAGCACAGCCGCTAACTTAGTGTATGAAGGTGAATTTAAAACAAATTAAAGGGTAGCGAGAAGAGGCAGGGTGTGGTGGCGCCTGCCTTTAATCCCAGTGTTTGGGAATCAGAGGCAGACAGATTTCTGTGTGTTGTAGGCCATCGTGGTCTACATTGAGAGTTTCACACCAGGTGGAACTACATAGTGAGACCTTGTCTCACAAAAAACAAACAAACCAACCCACCACCACCAACAACAAAAAACCAGTGAGAGCTATAACACTTGGCTGCACTCTCTTAGATGCAGGTCAACGACAAACAGGATCAGCCCACAGTCCTAAATGCGACGTTTATATAAACCTTCTCAAGGGTTGGGGAACATCATGTAAGGGGGAACAGAAATGATTGTAAAGAATCTGAGCATGGCGAGGAATGCTGTGGAACGCTTTGCAATGTTTCTGGACACGCCATGACTGTTGTGCTCATGAGCTCATAGGAACTGATTACCTGCACAAGATCAGGCCAATCATTATTCCAGCTTACCCCCTAACTTAGCCGAGGAGCTATTGGCAAATGAAGGAAGCTGGTAGAGAGAGGGAGGGAGTCTTTTTTCTTTGGGGATGTGCCCCGCCCCCATAAATTGCCCGTGATCAAGGGGATGGTCTCCTACACAAGTGCATGCAGCACTGACTAGATTCAGTTGGATATATTTAAAAAAAAATGAATGTGGGGCTGGAGAGATGGCTCATAGGTTAAGAGCACTGACTGCTCTTCCAGAGGTCCTGAGTTCAATTCCCAGCAACCACATGGTGGCTCACAGCCATCTACAATTCAATCTGGTGCCCTCTTCTGGCAGAATACTGCATATGCAATAAATAAATCTTTAAAAAGAATGAATGTGGAAGTATTGCACGTTGGACAGGATCAAGATATGGTGTGAAACTGATAATAAACATTTTAAGTGAGCATCCCAGAAGAAAATCTGGGGAAGACCGCAGACCCAGGACGCGGTAGAGCACGCAGGGGAGGGCCTTTTGAACACCATGTATTAGAGCTGAGGTGTTCTGGGGAGAACGGAAGGAGCTGATCGCAGCAACTAAATCCCAAACCCACGAGCGCCTCCCGTCAGAACCACTGTGGACTTGTCAAGGCCCGCATTCCCCCAGCCCAACTCACAGCATCCCCCAACTCCCCTCGGTCAATCAACCTCAGACCGCCACCTCGCACGTGCGCTCCCACGGCCACCTCAACTCCCAGAAACCTCTGGGGGAGCTGCTTTGTATCTCGAGCGACCCGCGTTTCCGGCAGGGGACCGTGGTTCACAGCAGAGGTCCCCTCTCTCGGCGGGCTGGGGCGGGGCAGACTTGAGTCCCGCCCGGCCCGGAGCCGCCGACTTCCCGACTGGGGACTACACTTCCCAGCAGGCCTTGTGCGCAAATCAAAAGTCCACTTCCGGCGCGTTCGGGCTGAACCGCCCGAGGGTCGGAACCTTCAGGTCCGGGTTCGGCAGGGAGAGGGCGTGGCGTGGCGGGCGTGGCCTGGAGGGTGCGGGTGTGGCCGGGGGGGCGTGTCCGTGAGGCCTTAGAGGGCGTCTGCGGCCTGGCCAGGGCAGCGCGCGCCCCTCGCGTGACATGCGGGGGGTGGCGAGTGCGGGGCCACGCGAGCCCCGGGCCCTCGTGGGGCGCGGCGCCCTCTGCACCAAGCCCAGGGCTGGTGGGGACCCTGCAGTGGGGACCCCAGCCCCACGTGGACGTCCGGCCCCGGGAAGGCCGCGCTCCAGGAACGGCCGGGTCTCCCAGGGCGGGCACGGGGCGGTGACCTCGGGGCCTGCGCACAAAGGTGAGTGGCTGGTGTCCAGGCTTAGCGGGCGAAGGCGAATGGGTTCTGGGGTGCGAAGGGAGGGGATGGTCCGAGGGTTCTCGGAGGCCTCCGTGATGGAGATGGTGTCGCTGGGCGCAGAGTGCGAGGTTAAACGGGAAAGCAGTCCTTGAAAGCTCAACTTGGAGCCAGAGCAGAATCAATCGAGCGGGGACGCTGACGTCCCCGGCGCCCACGCTTCAAGGGATGCAACTTCCAGGGAGCGGGGGGACTGGAGAGATGGCTCAGAGTGGCTCACAACCATCCCCGACTCCAGTTGCAGGGGGTCTGACCCCCTCTCTTCTGAACTTCATGGGCACAAGGCATGCACGCGGTGCACGAGTGCACCCGCAAACAACACACGCACGTAAAATAAACTCGAAGACGCGACTCCTACTCGCCGTCCTACCCTTTGCCTATCCCGCACGGCACAGGGTAATAACGGGATCTCATCTCTCACCTCTCCGAAATGCCCCCACCCCCTGCGCGTGTCGGGCGTAGTCTTGTGTGGACTTGGTGTCTGGTCCTTCCTTTCCCGCAGCGCTGCTTTCCAGAGATACCAACTTCCTCCCGGAGATTAGCGGTAAACGGGAAGATGCCCCTACAGGGACTAAACTGAAAGCCGAGTCTCAGGTGAGTCACACTGTCTCCCTGCTTCCTGAAAGAGTCTTGCCTTTTCCGCCACTTAATGATGTTTATTTTCTCTGAAAAGTTTTCAGTTTAAGAGACCTGCCCTGGGTGCTGTTCCCTCCTACTCTGGTGAGGGATGGGCTACAGGGATAGCTCCAAGCTGATCAGGGCTCTGCTTTCTTCAGTCCTTTTCGTTGCAACTGTTATTTCTCGCCTGAAGAGCCCTTTGTTGTTGACTGTATTTATTTAGACAAGGTCTGTCTACACAGTCCTGACTGTCCTAGAACTCACTATGTAGTTCAGGCTGGCCTTGAACTCCCAGAGGTCTGCTCCTGCCTGTCTTTCCTGAGTGCTGATATTAAAGATGTGTGCCACCAAGCCCTGCGTCAGGAGGATTCTTACGGTCAGAAGTGCAGCCATCTTTTCTACCTGGTTTCTTTGATGTCCACAGGGTAGGAGAATTACATTATGGCTAAGCCCCACTTAGGGGGTCGAGGCGATGTCTCAGCGGGTAAGGGTGCTTGCTCTGTGTGTGTGACGGCCTGATTTTGGATCCCTAGTACCTGTGTTAAGAAGGCAAGTGTGTTCCCGTAGACCTGAGCATTTCCAGGCAGAGGCAGATGCGTTCCAGAGCTCTCTGGCCCATCAGCCTAGCCGAAAAAGGTGAACTTCTAATTTAGTGAGGAAACCCTGTTTCGGAAGCAATAAAGGAAGCTGTTCAGCAAGCTGGTCATGGCAGGGGCACAGGAACCGGACACTCGTGGGCACATACCACATACATACATGATGCACACACACACAGAAGTTTTCACTGAGCTGATGAAATGACTCAGTGAGTGAAGGCACTTGCTGCCATGCTGGACAGCCTGAGTTTCATCCCAGGGAGCTACATGGATGAAGGAGAAAACCGATCCTTGAAAGTTGTCTTCATAATTGTGCTTGTACACACACACACACATACCACACACACACACACATGCGCGCGCGCAAACACTAATTTTTTTAGGAATAATTTTAAATTTGGAAACATTTCTTGGTCTCTAGGAGCTCAGAACAGAAAGTCAAGGAGGCACAGAGTCCAGATACTGAACCTTGGGTCTGGGACTCCTTTCCCTGTTTCTTTTGATTTTTGAGACAGGGTCTCACTATGTAGCCCAGGCTAATGAATAGCTCCCTGTGTAGACGGCCTTGAACTCATGGAGATCTGCTCGTCTCTGCTTCCTGAATGCTGGGACTAGCGGTGTACACCACCACACCAGGCCTTCATCCTTATCTGTCACTCTGGGCTTCTTGCTTCTGCTTCTGTGACCTCTGCATCTACTCCTTTCTCTTCTGAATGCCAGAGAGTTCTCTGCATGCCAGCTCTAGCCAAGTAGACTCTCCACTCAAAACTTTCCAAGGTGTCCTTGAAGAAAGACCCCGTCCCTAAAGTGACTGAGAAGATGTTTGATGTGGTTCCTCCTTATCTCTGATATCTGCCTTTACCTTCATCCCCTTTGTTTCCAGAAAGCTGCCTTCTCATTTCATGATCTACCCTTTAAAATCTCAACTCTCAGGTACTCAGGATGCTGTAGTTCCATCAGCATCTTAAGCCCAGGAATTTGAGATAAGCCAAGGTATTTTGCCAGTTATAAGAAAACATTTGAGTGCTTTTTTACCTTGGAGAGTCACCGAATGCTAGTCTCCTTGATAGTGACAAGGTAGTAACAAATGCTAGGGGAAATAGTGACATAGGACTCAGACATGACTAGACATATTGGTTACAACTTAGAAAAATTGTTGTTTTAAAAATTGTTTTGGGGGAGTAGTTTTATAGTCTGAAGATTTTCCCTTTTTTTCATATTCCAAAAAAAATAGGCATCATTTTCTTGAATTCAAAAATGTGTACAAACACACAGATTAAAAACTATATAGGGAGATGACATGATTTGTTTAGTAAAGCATATATGAAAAGTATTTGAAAATCTGAAAAACAAAATGAGTGCAAGACTGAGTATCTGGAATCCTGAAGTTGGGACTCTGGGACTGGGCTCTAAAAAGCCTGTGGGAGACTGTGTGAGAATGCATAGTCATCGTTTTGCCTTCTTTCACTATTTCAGAAGAGAGTAACTTTTACTTACTCTTTGTTTTTTTGGTATATGTGAGCAATGTATCTTGATCATAGGCGCCACAGCTCCCATTCGAAATTTTATATTTAGAGACATAGTCGCCACAGTCCAGGCTGGCCATGAGCTATGTAGTTGGAGACAGCCCTGAACTTTCAGCGAAAATGATAGACAGTAGCAACCCTTAGGCCACACCCAGGGCGTTACTGGGTCTTTGAGAATCCTGTCCTGGTTTCTTTCCTGGTCCATGTGCTGTTCCAGTCCACGCATGCGCCACAAGGTTGCGACAGAGAACCCATGGTACTCAGGACACCTTGGCTTTCATTATGTATTGCTAGAAACTGATGACAAGTATTTTATGGGAGTGCATGCCTGTGCTGGCTAGTTTTATGTCAGCTTGTCACAAGCTATGTCATCTGTGAGGAGGGAACCGCCGTAAATGTCGCCCTGAGAATGGGCTCTAGGCAGGCCAGGAGGGCATTTTCTTACTGATCAGTGGGAGTGGGCCCAGCTCGTTGTGGGCGGGGACACCCCGGGGCTGGTGGTCCTGTGTTCTATAAGAGCAGGCTGGGGAAGCCAGGAGGAACAAGCCAGTAAGCAGCGCCCCTGCATGGTCTCCGTCAGCTGCTGCTCCTGAGGCCCTGCCCTGACTTCCTTTGGTGATGGACTAGAATGTAGATACATAAGGCAAATGAACCCTCTCTTCCCCAACTTGCTTTTGGTCGTGGAGTTTCATCCCAGCAACGGTAACCCTGACTAAGACAGTCTCCAAGTGCGTTTGCACCCTAAAGGATGAGGGTGAGGACTTGAACACCGGGTGGGAGGACGCGGTCCATGTAAGAACTCTCTGGTAAGCATGGGCTCTGGCTGAGCCACAATGCGTTTTTGTCATTTCAGGGCTTGGTGACGTTTGGGGACGTGGCTGTTGTTTTCTCCCAGGAGGAGTGGGAATGGCTCAGCTCTGAGCAGAGGAGTCTGTACTGGAGGGTGATGCTGGACAACTACAGGAACCTGGCGTCCCTGGGTGAGGGACTCCCCGCTCCTGCCCCGCCTCTTCCCGTTCACGCCTGTGGTCCCGGAGTCGCATCCGGTCTCCCCCATCCCACACGACCGCATCCCGGTTTTCTTTCTCCTCTCTGCTTTCCTTATGACTCCAGGACTTTGTGCGTCTAAGCCAGATATGATCGCCTTGTTGGAACAAGGAAAAGATCCCTGCGTGTTGAAAAGAAAGACGGCAAGAGGCCTGCGCCCAGGTGAGCAGGAGGTGGGGGTGTGGCTGAGCAGGAGGTGGGGGTGTGGCTGAGCAGGAGGTGGGGGTGTGGCTGAGGTGGGGGTGGGGGTGTGGCTGAGCAGGAGGTGGGGGTGTGGCTGAGGTGGGGGGGGGGGTGTGGCTGAGCAGGAGGTGGGGGTGTGGCTGAGCAGCAGGTGGGGGTGTGGCTGAGCAGGAGGTGGGGGTGTGGCTGAGCAGGAGGTGGGGGTGTGGCTGAGCAGGAGGTGGGGGTGTGGCTGAGCAGCAGGTGGGGGTGTGGCTGAGCAGGAGGTGGGGGTGTGGCTGAGCAGGGGTGGGGTGTGGCTGAGCAGGGGGTGGGGGTGTGGCTGAGCAGGGGGTGGGGGTGTGGCTGAGCAGGAGGTGGGGGTGTGGCTGAGCAGGAGGTGGGGGTGTGGCTGAGGTGGGGGTGGGGGTGTGGCTGAGCAGGAGGTGGGGGTGTGGCTGAGGTGGGGGTGGGGGTGTGGCTGAGCAGGAGGTGGGGGTGTGGCTGAGCAGGGGGTGGGGGTGTGGCTGAGCAGGGGGTGGGGGTGTGGCTGAGCAGGAGGTGGGGGTGTGGCTGAGCAGGAGGTGGGGTGCAGTGAGGTGGGGGTGTGGCTGAGCAGGAGGTGGGGGTGTGGCTGAGCAGGAGGTGGGGGTGTGGCTGAGCAGGAGGTGGGTGTGGCTGAGGTGGGGGTGGGGTGTGGCTGAGCAGGAGGTGGGGTGTGGCTGAGCAGGAGGTGGGGGTGTGGCTGAGCAGGAGGTGGGGGTGTGGCTGAGCAGGAGGTGGGGGTGTGGCTGAGCAGGAGGTGGGGGTGTGGCTGAGCAGGAGGTGGGGGTGTGGCTGAGCAGGAGGTGGGGGTGTGGCTGAGCAGGAGGTGGGGGTGTGGCTGAGCAGGAGGTGGGGTGTGGCTGAGCAGGAGGTGGGGGTGTGGCTGAGCAGGAGGTGGGGGTGTGGCTGAGCAGGAGGTGGGGGTGTGGCTGAGCAGGAGGTGGGGGTGTGGCTGAGCAGGAGGTGGGGGTGTGGCTCAGGGGAGCAGGAGGTGGGGGTGTGGCTCAGGGAGCAGGAGGTGGGGGTGTGGCTGAGCAGGAGGTGGGGTGTGGCTAGGAGCAGGAGGTGGGGGTGTGGCTGAGCAGGAGGTGGGGGTGTGGCTGAGCAGGAGGTGGGGGTGTGGCTGAGCAGGGGGTGGGGGTGTGGCTGAACAGGAGGTGGGGGTGTGGCTCAGGGGAGCAGGAGGTGGGGGTGTGGCTGAGCAGGAGGTGGGGGTGTGGCTGAGCAGGAGGTGGGGGTGTGGCTGAGCAGGAGGTGGGGGTGTGGCTGAGCAGGAGGTGGGGGTGTGGCTGAACAGGAGGTGGGGGTGTGGCTGAACAGGAGGTGGGGGTGTGGCTCAGGGGAGCAGGAGGTGGGGGTGTGGCTCAGGGGAGCAGGAGGTGGGGGTGTGGCTGAGCAGGAGGTGGGGTGTGGCTCAGGGGAGCAGGAGGTGGGGGTGTGGCTGAGCAGGAGGTGGGGGTGTGGCTCAGGGGAGCAGGAGGTGGGGGTGTGGCTGAGCAGGAGGTGGGGGTGTGGCTGAGCAGGAGGTGGGGGTGTGGCTGAGCAGGGGGTGGGGGTGTGGCTGAGCAGGGGGTGTGGCTGAGCAGGGGTGGGGGTGTGGCTGAGGTGGGGGTGGGGGTGTGGCTGAGCAGGGGGTGTGGCTGAGCAGGGGGTGGGGGTGTGGCTGAGCAGGGGGTGTGGCTGAGCAGGGGGTGGGGGTGTGGCTGAGGTGGGGGTGGGGGTGTGGCTGAGCAGGGGGTGTGGCTGAGCAGGGGGTGGGGGTGTGGCTGAGGTGGGGGTGGGGGTGTGGCTGAGCAGGGGGTGTGGCTGAGCAGGAGGTGGGGGTGTGGCTGAGCAGGGGGTGTGGCTGAGCAGGAGGTGGGGGAGTGGCTGAGCAGGGGGTGTGGCTGAGCAGGAGGTGGGGGTGTGGCTGAGCAGGGGGTGTGGCTGAGCAGGAGGTGGGGGTGTGGCTGAGCAGGGGGTGTGGCTGAGCAGGAGGTGGGGGTGTGGCTGAGCAGGGGGTGGGGGTGTGGCTGAGCAGGAGGTGGGGGTGTGGCTGAGCAGGAGGTGTGGCTGAGCAGGGGGTGTGGCTGAGCAGGGGGTGGGGGTGTGGCTGCGCTCCCAGCTCGTCCCTCACACGGTCTCACCAGCAGATACTGTGGCCTCTTAGGCATGGGCTTTGTGCCTTCAGGCCTCCTCTCCCTCCCCAGCATGGCTCCCTCCCCTTACAGATAGTTTACTTTTCTCTGCAGCCTTCCTTTGCCTCTCAGACCTATGAACTCACCTTTTTTTTTTAAAGGTGTTTATGTGTGTCTGAATGTGTATGTTTAGGTGAACGTGTGTCTGTCTGTCTGTGTGTGTTTATATGTAGGTCAGGGGTCTTCCTCTATGACTGTCTTTTTTTAATAATCTCATTTTACGTATGCGGGTGTTCTGCCTGTGCGTGTTTCTGGGCACTCCAACACGTGCATGCCTGGAGCCTGCAAAGAGGACAGTAGCTCTCCTGGAACTGGAGTTACAGTTGTGAGCCACCATGTGGGTGTTGGGAATTGAACCCGGGTCCTCTGGAAGAGCAGTCAGTGTTCTTAACCACTGAGCCATCTCTGCGGCTCCATTGACTTGTGCGTGCGTGTGTGTGCGTGTGTGTGTGTGTGTGCGTGTGTGTGTGTGTGTGTGTGTGTGGTATTTTGCCTGCAAGTATATCTGTGCACCACGTGTGCCTCCCCCACCGTGCAACACATAATAAGAGCCGTTTGCTTTGTTAATTTCTCTAAGACTTAGAGGCTGTGTGGGAGGCCAAGGAGTGCCCTCCAGAGGACTTAGGTGAAGAACAGTTATCCCAGGTGGTGCTAAGACAACAGCTCCTGCACCGTAGACCCAAGCGCTCTGTGTTAGGGGAAGACTGGAGTGGCAGCGCTGTGTCCCAGACACGGAGGGTAAGTTGGGGTCACCTCAGGCAGCCCTTCACGAGTCCTTGGACGGTATGGAATCTCCATTGCATGCACTGTTTCCTGTGGACAGATTGTGACCCGGTGGGAAAGAGTTGTATTGTCTTGAGACGCACAGTAAAGTGTGTGTGTGTGTGTGTGTGTGTGTGTGTGTGTGTGCACCCACAGATGGGGGGGACGGACAGTCACAAACAAGCTCTGCAGGTGATGGAAGTTTGGTTCCGAGCGAGCGTCTGAGGACTCTGAGCAGGGTGTCAGGAGTTTCTCCTGTCCCCTCTGCTGGGAGAATCCCTCCCTGAGGACATGGGAGCACCCACCCTCCTCATAAGGTCTCAGTTGGGTTCCTAGTGCTGTGGTAAAACACCATGACGGAAAGGAGCTCGGGGAGGAAAGGGTTTATGTCATGTGACAGCTTGTAGTCCATCATCCAGGGAGTCAGGGCAGACACTCAGGCAGGGCAGGATCCTGGATGCAGGAGCTGATGCAGAAGCCGTGGCGGAGTGCTGCTCACCGGCTTGCTCCCCATGGCTTCAGCCTGTCTTTTATATCTTGGACCACGGGTCACAATGGGCGGGCTTTCGCACATCAAATACTGATTTAGAAAATAGCCTGTAGGGGGCTGGAGAGATGACTCAATGGTTAAGAGTGATGTCTGCTCTTCAACAAGTCCCAGCAACCACATGGTGGCTCACAGCCATCTGTAATGAGATCTGGCGCCCTCTGCTGGCCTGCAGGAATACATGCAGGCAGAGCAGTGTAAACATAATAAATTACTAAATAAATCTTAAAGAAAAGCGAGTACCCTGTAGGATTGCCTATAGGCCTGTCTGGTGGGAATACTTCCTTAATTGAAGATCTGTCTTCTGTGTCAACTAGCCAGCACACCAAAGTACACTTTCACCGTGGTTCATTCCAGAGAACTTCCAGAGCGTAGGCCAGGCTCTGCTGGGAGGATTGGGTGATCCCGCGGTGGCCGCACCGGAAAGTCTTCATCCACCTCCGCAGCGGCAGAGAGGGTCTCTCCTCTCCTCTCAGCCCGCCTCCCCATCCTGCGTGCCCTCTGACGCTGTGCAGTTAGGGCAGGACTGCAGTCAGATGTCTGCAGCCTCAAGTGAGGGTCTCTCACCTCCCCTAAGGGAGCATCGTCACCCCACAGGCTGCTCTTGCTGTCTCTTACATGGTTGATGTGGTGAAGGCGGCAGCTGTTTCTCGGGGGACTTCACTCCGTGACACCTTCTTTTGTCAAACACACGCGCGCGTACACACGCACACACACACTCACACATGCATGGACACTCACGCACACCTACGCATGCACGCACTCAAAGGCAATTCACGGTATACCCTCTATAGCTCAAGTGACACACATGGTTCAGAGTGTGCTGTTTACAGCATGTGGACACGCTCCACCCTACTCTGGCCTCCCAGATTCACGAATGTGTTTGGGCCTTTTCAGGCATTGGACCCCAAGACCATCACAGATACGGCTAGAGACAGCTCTCCACAGCTTGCGTCAGCTCCGAAGAGTTTCTGTAAGAATGTGGCTTGGGAGGACTCTGATGACCTGGGGTCCTTAGGTAAGGCCTTGTCCCTCCTGGATCTGACTGTGGTGACCCGGGGTCCTTGGGTAAGGCCTTGTCCCTCCTGGATCTGACTGTGGTGACCTGGGGTCCTTGGGTAAGGCCTTGTCCCTCCTGGATCTGACTCTGTCTTCAGGAGCACTTTTCGTGGTTTGTTGTTTGTTTGTGGCTCTTTCGAGACAGGGTTTCTGTGCCTTCCAAGTGCTGGAATTAAAGGCGTGTGCCACCGCCCTATTTTTTGTTTAGCGTTGAAAGTGTATGTTTGAATGTGAAGCTGCCTATCGAGGTCAGAAGATGGCTGGAGTTAGAGGTGATTGTGTACTGCCTGATATGAGGGCTAGGAACCAAACACACACACACACACGCACACACACACACACACACACACACACACTCGCGCACACACGCACGCACATGCCCACATTCTCTAATTCTTCCGTCTGTGCTGAGGGATGATCCTTCTGTACACTGAATATGCGTCACTCATTGGGTAATAATAAACCGATTAGCCCGTAGCAAGGCGGGATAAAGTTGAGGACTGGGGTGAAGAAGGGTGTGATGGGTAGACACGAGCCTCTTAAGAGGCAAGACACTAGAGGTTGGGTAAAACCCTGAGCCCTGTAGCGATACACGCGCTAGTAGAAACGGGTTAATTTAAATGTAAGAGCTAGCCAGTAATAAGCTTGAGCTATTGGCGGAGCACTCTGTAATTAGTACAAGCTTTTGTGTGTTTGTTTCGGACTGGGCAGTCAGGACAGGAAAACTGTGCCTCCATCGACACGGCAGTAATAATCTTTTCTGTCAGAGTCAGGAAACAGCTCACTCAATTTCAGAGTGACAAGAGTATAAGCAAACACTTTGAGGACGCTGTGTTTCCAAAGCAGATTTGGTCTCTTTACTGGGGCGAGGGAAGAGGTCCTCTGTGGTGCAGAGAGAGCTGGCACCGGCTTGTTCTTGGGTGGGTGTGGTGACGTCACTGTAGCTTTGGGCAGGACGCAAGTCCTCACCACCACATGCTGAAAACTGCCACATTTTCAGCATGTGGTGGAAAGAAAAATTACACCCGTAGATTTCAGAATGACGCCTCTTCCTGTAGTTTCCTTTTTATTCTTACTCACTTGGGTGCTTGTCAGCCTCTCAGTTTCTTGGACGCCATTAATGTTAAATGACCCATTTGTTTCCTCTTGCGTCTCAGCTGTACTTCAGCAGTTGGCTGGAGAAAGGGAAAGCGTGTGCGTGTGAGTGTGCGCACGTGCGTGCGTGTGTGTGTGTGTGTGAGTGCGTGTGTGTCTGTGTGTGTGTTGTGCACGCACGTGCACGTGTGAACCATTGAAGAATCCCTCTAACGGAGAAGACCAGACGTGATGTGGATAGCTTGCATGAAGTAAAGTTTGAAATTTCTGACTCAGGTATTGCAGAGAAACGGAGATGTTATTCCTAGTGGCTCCTTTGTGCCCACAGGACAGCGTAGACAGAGGTCAGAGTGCAAGGAGACAGAAGCAGAGGATCTCTTCCTCCTGACACATAATAAAGGAGATAATGTTTCCTTCATCTGTTTCAGGCCTGCGGTCTGTACATGGGGCCCAGGGTTTGTTCTCAAAGCAAGACTCAAATGCTGAAAGGTTAACAGACAGAACGTGGAGCACTAAACTTGAGTGCTCCACTTTCAGAGAAGATTGGGATCCTGAGTGTGGGTTTGAAAGGAATGGTCAAGACACACCGTTTGAGCAAGACACAGTTACTCAGAGCAGAGCCTTCTCAGAGAAGAGAGAGCGTGTGTGTATCGAGTCTGGAAGATGCCTTCATTTGGATAGTTCAGAAGGGAGAAGTCACAATTGTCACTCAGGCAAAAGTTTCCCCCCAAACTCAGCGGGCATGCAAGAAGCAGAAATGTACGCAGGAAGAAAACTTTTCAAATGCGATGAATGTAAGAAAACCTTCACCCAGAGCTCCTCCCTCACAGTTCACCAGAGAATTCATAGCGGAGAGAAACCCTATCAGTGCCATGAGTGTGGCAAGGCTTTCAGTGATGGTTCCTCTTTCACACGCCACCAGAGGTGCCACACAGGCAAGAAGCCGTACGAGTGTGGCGAGTGTGGCAAGGCTTTCATCCAGAACACCTCCCTTGTACGCCACTGGCGCTACTATCACACCGGGGAGAAGCCTTTCGATTGCACGGACTGTGGGAAAGCCTTCAGTGACCACATAGGGCTTAATCAACACAGGAGGATTCACACGGGAGAGAAACCTTACCAATGCGATGTGTGTCACAAATCCTTCAGATACGGCTCATCCCTCACGGTGCACCAAAGGATTCACACCGGAGAAAAGCCATACACGTGCGACATCTGCAGAAAAGCCTTCAGCCACCACGCGTCGCTCACCCAGCATCAAAGAGTGCACTCCGGGGAGAAGCCCTTTAAGTGTAAGGAATGCGGGAAAGCCTTCCGGCAGAACATCCACCTTGCCAGCCACCTGAGGATCCACACGGGGGAGAAGCCCTTTGAGTGCGGGGCGTGCGGGAAGGCCTTCAGCATTAGCTCGCAGCTTGCCACTCACCAGAGAATTCACACGGGAGAGAAGCCTTACGAGTGCGAGGTGTGCAGCAAGGCGTTCACGCAGAAGGCTCACCTTGCCCAGCATCAGAAAACTCACACGGGGGAGAAGCCGTACGAGTGTAAGGAGTGCGGCAAGGCTTTCAGCCAGACCACCCACCTCCTGCAGCATCAGAGGGTTCACACGGGAGAGAAGCCTTACAAATGCCTGCAGTGTGGCAAGGCCTTCGGCGACAACTCATCCTGCACTCAGCACCAGAGACTTCACACGGGCCAGAGGCCTTTTGGGTGCGTGGAATGCGGGAAGGCCTTCAAGACCAAGTCGTCCCTTATCTGCCACCGCAGATGTCACACTGGGGAGAAACCCTACGGGTGTAGTGCATGCGGCAAGGCCTTCAGCCACCGCCAGTCCCTTAGTGTCCACCAGAGGATTCACTCTGGGAAGAAACCGTATGAATGTAAGGAGTGTAGCAAAACCTTCATCCAGATTGGACACCTCAACCAGCATAAGAGAGTCCATGCCGGGGAGAGAGCGTATAGCCGCAAGAGGGCCACGAGGGTCTCGAGGCAGACCGCACACTTTCCTCACCATCCGCGAATCCATGCCGGGGAGGCACCCGCTCACCCTCCTTTGCCCGCCACAGCCAATCCTGTGGATCTCTTCCCCAAACTCATCTGGGGTCCATCCTCGTTTTCAGCATCATAGCCTCCAAACGTTGCCCTTCCCACTAGGCTGCTTTTAACAGCTCACCTCTCCGCCCCTGTGCTCAACTTTTCCTTACCAGTTTGTTCTTCATGTTGCAGTCAGGTTGGGTTATTTATTTTTTTGGAGTGTAAATGTAATTAATGTGCTCATTGAAAACTTATTATCCATTGGTTAATGCTTGAGATGTGCTTCGCACAGCGCCTGATCCATACCAAGTACTCAGCAAACCCGGCTCTTTTTAAAAGTTTATTTTTGAAAATGGAAATGTTACCGTCGTCGGCCCTGATAGAAACGATGCATTAGAACGAGGTTAGGAGAAACCAGGTTTCAAAACAGAAAGCGAGTTCTCTGAGCTGCTGCCGAGGCTTGCTTCTTTTCCTTGAAAACATGGTTCTAAGCCAAGGGTATGGTGGGTTCACCTGTAATCCTAGTGTTCATGAATGCAAGGTCAGCTGGGGCAACTTAATGAGACCCCCATCCCTAAATAAAAACAAAGCAGTTGATCCCATACTGCTGAACTGTATCATGGCTGTGAATTTGAATTATGTGAGTATAAGCTAGGTAAGAAAACTTTCAGTGAGAAAACTACTATACAGGTGATAATCAAAGGATAGACAGTGTATGTAGGCCGCCTGAAACAAATGAATCAAAACAGTTGGGACAGTACAAGGTCTTATATACATGTAGTTAAAACTACAAACAAATTACTTAAGAATGACAGAACTCTGAAGGGTTTCATCTATTTAAAGTCACTGGCTTATGAATACATTCTTGGTAAACATCCGAGGAAGTATTAACACTGGGGTAAACTGATCTAGGGGGCAGCAAACTGACTTACGGTCTGTGTCACTGATTACTTTTGTATGGTCCATAATCTAAATTTCTAAAAATGTGTTGAGTGGTTTTACACATTGGAGGAATGTTTCAGCCTGGTGACTATGCGAAACATTTTCGTGTCTGTAGGTGACGATGTATGGGCTTGCAGCCAACATGTTCACTTTTTACTGTTTGTGGTGCTTTCATCCACGGAGCCAGAACAGAGTTTTAGTGAGTCACAGCCATGGCTGTGACTTTGGCTGCTTTTGTTCTTTGTTTGTTTGTTTGTTTGTTTTGCTTTTCCCAGGGGCAGAGTTACCAGCTGCACTGGAGACTGTATGACCACATTAAGTCACAAATATTTTCAGCTGAAGAGTAGAGGAGACTGCTCAAAAGTTTCTAACCTCATGGCAATAAACCCTGCCCAGAAAACCAAAACCAAACCCAAGACTATTGGGCTCGGCAGGTAAAGGTACTTGTTGCCAACCCTGCTGGCATGAGTTTGATCCTTGGAACTCATGTGGTAGAAGAGAAAATTCACTAATGAGAGTTGTCCTGACTGCCACAGCTTCACACAAGTGCTGTCGCATGTACACTCTAAGACACAAACAGTAGATCGCTTAAAATACAGCAATAAAGCAATTTATGGAGAGATGAAATTATTAAATGATATAAAGCTCAATAAAATATATTTACAGAAAATATTAAAATGTTTATGAATTATCTTTCCGAAACAAGTCCCATGAGGATATGTCGGCAACTTCAGGGAACAATTAGACAAGAATATAAAGGATTTTTTTTTAAAGAATTGTTTATTATTTTATTGTAAGACATGGTCTCTATGTAGCCTTAACTGTCCTGGAACTCCCTCTGTAGGCCAGGCTGTCTTCGAATTCACAGAGATCTGTCTGCCTCTGCCTCCCAAGTGCCAGGATCAAGGGTGTGTGGGATTAAGGTTGGCTTTTTGTTTATTTGTGTGTATATGTATGCCACATGTGTTCATGTGCCCACAGAGGCCAGAAGAGACTTCTGGATCCTCAAAAGGGCAACTCAAAACAGGACTTTAAAAATTTCAAATATGCTAATCCAATTCAAAGATACACTAAATTGATATGTGCTAGGGAACAGCCAGAGGAAAATATTGAAAGCCTTCTTTTGTTTTGCTTTCTATTGTTACTTTACGAACAGATCTCTTTGTGTATCTGCAGCAAAGACGCTGCAGTTCCTAACATACGAGTCTCAGGTGTCAGTCAAGGTGGTTCAGACAGCCTCTGCTGCACTGCGTGGTGTGGCTGTATCCACAGAGCAAACTATACAAGTGTCGTAAGTGCCAAGGCTGCAGGGGAGCCACGTAATGCAACGCGAGAGATCGCTGCCCAAGACCTCAGGTTCATTACGTGTTGGAGTCTGAGTTTTTGGTTGTCTGCAGCCTTTTCACAGTGTGTACATTCAGTCACGCAGCTCAAGAATCCGGGATCTAGAGTTCGCTGAAGCTTGTGGTATGGACCGCTGGGAGCAGCGCTGGCTGTGTCTGTACCTTTAGGATCCAGAGAAATCAGCTGTCATCGCTGCCCACTCAAGGCATGCCACAAGTGTAAAAAGTGGTCCGTTTGACTGACGGTCCAGTTGCTTAAAGTGGCCAGGCAGCAAGAGAGTCCAATAGACGCCAATTAGAGGCTCAGGTTGCCGCATCCAGCATCTTTGCCGGTTAAGACAACGAGCAAACGCCAGGAGGGCTTTTACATTTTCCATTGATAGTAGTAGTGGCTGGGTCTCTCTACATTGCCCTGGCAGCCCTGGAACTCACAGAGATCCGCCTGCTTCTGCCTCCCAAGTGCTGGGATTTAAAGGCGTGCGCCACCACTTTGCCTGGCTAGTAACTTTTTTTTTAATATGTATTTATTATGTCTTCTCTGCCTTTCTGCCAGAAGAGGGCATTCCATCTCACTACAGATGGTTGTGAGTCACCATGTATGTGGTTGCTGGGAATTGAACTCGGGACCTCTGGAAGAGCAGCCAGTGCTCTTAACCGCTGAGCCATCTCTCCAGCCCCAGCTAGTGACTTTTTAAGAGTATGCTTTAATTATGCTGAACACATGGCCGGGGCGTAGGGACATGTAGATTTGTCTCGGTTATCTGTCCCACAGATCAAAACACTCTTTGCCACTGAATATTAAGCCCCGAACAGGACGAAAACGTGTAGTCTTGGAATATTCAGCCTTGTAGGGAAAGGTAAGTCTGTGAGTGAAGGTGCTATGTCAGGGAGCAATAACTAAAGCATGAAACAGGTTAACAGACTCAAAAAAATCAGAATTACACAAATCACAAAATCAAATATTTTTTCTCCTGTCTTTTATTCTGTGTCCCGGTGCCTTCTAAATCTCATAGTGCAAAGCTGTCTTCTATTGCAGAAACCACGGCGGCCTCATTGACTTGGCCTCCCATCCTGGGCCTGTGCGCTCTTCCCAAACCGATAGACACGCCTGAGCACACAATACCGAGAGTCTTCTAAAGACTGGATCTGAATCGGGGGACAGCAATTAGGGAACAGAGAGCGGTGACCAGTCTTCTGCATCCTGGGACAGCTCCTCCTACTCTTGTCCGACGAGGACTACATATCCCAGTTGCCATTGCGGAGAACCGCACGACCACCTCCGGTAGAAACCGGAAGTCAGTGTCGCTGCCGCCCCTGAGACCCGGGAGTCTCGGGTGGAGTTGTTGGTGAGTTCGGGGTGAGGCTAGACCTGATCTGGGAAGGCTGCCGGAGTGGTGTTCAGGTCGGCGCGAGGGTGGTCTGGCATCCGTGGGTCTGACACGCGTGTGGTGTGAGAGTGGGAACGGGGGACTGACCGGAAACGGGAGGCGAGGTGGGCGGGGCACTGTGGGACCCTGTCCCTGGGAAGTGGGAGAGGCCGGGTTCAGAGCCAGGGAATGATGCTCCCAGGGGCCTCCTGTTTTCTGGCTGCCACGAATGCCCCTCAGTAAGTGTCTAAGGCTGATATTTTTAACACTGTTGGACAGTTGATCCAGATGGGTAAGTAACATCAAGAGTTCAGACTCACAAACCCCCGCTCTATGAATTTGTTTTTTAATGACAGAATTCTAATATCATGTACATCATAAGGATTAAATAGACTCATACGTACTTGCCGTGGTCCCTGCCACATTCGGTTCATTTTTATTATAATAATCTTTTGAGAAGCCCGTGGGATCTGTATTAAAGAAGTCAGAATCAGGCGCTGAAGAGATGTATCGGCAGTTAAGGGCACTTGCTACTCATGCAGAAGACCCAGGTTCAATTCCCAGCGCTCACATGGTGGCTCCCAACCATCTGTAACTTCACTTCTGGGAGCTCCAATGTCCTCTTCAGACAACCTTGGGCTCCTGCACACATGTGGTGCACATACACGCACTCAGGTTCACATACATACACATAGAGTGAAATAAATAAACACTTTAAAAAAGGAAGTCCAGAATTAATTCAGCTACTTTCCCCTTCATAATTAAAGGTACACATCAGAGCATGTAACAAGGGACTTCATCAAAACTTATTTTTCAAAGAGCAAATTGAGAGCTGGGTCTCGTGACAATTCTCTGACATCCTCAAGGGCTGTTCCTTTGGGGAACACGGCTTCTGCAGGAATTTACCTCATCAAACCTTGACTAGTTTCACAGGGAAGTATGTTTTTTTGGTGTCTACTTGAATAAAGAGTACTGGGGTCAGGCACACTAGTGTGGTGACTATTTTTCATTACTTATAGGCTGTTGGATTTGTGAAGAAGTCTTCCCAGAGGTTTGACATGTAAAATGGTGATGTTACTCCCTACTTTCTTTGACAGATAATGGAGATTTAAAAAGTATTAAGCTGGGTGGTGGTGGTGGTGGTGGTGGTGGTGGTGGTGGTGGTTGTGGTGGTGGCGCACGCCTTTAATTCTGGCACTCAGGAGGCAGAGGCAGGAGGAGCTCGGTGAGTTCGAGGCCAGCCTGGCCTACAAGAGCTAGTTCTAGGACAGATAGGGCTACACAGAGAGGCCCTCTCTCAAAAAAAAAAACAATAAAACAAAACAAATAAAAAAGTATTAAAGGGACTGGAGAGATGGCTCAGAGTTTAAAAGCACTGGCTGCTTTTCTAGAGGTCCTGAGTTCAGTTCCCAGCAACGACATGGCAGCTCACAACCATTTATATTTTCAGTTCCAGGGATCTTATGTCTTCTTCTGTCTCCTCAGGCACCATGCATGCACGCAGTACACATATGTGCAGGAAGCCACCATACACATAAAATAAAAATAAATGTTATCTTTTTAGTTGTGAAGCTAGCCTTTAACGGCTGAGCTATCCCTCCAGTCCAATAAAAAAATAAATCTTAAAAGCAGAAAGATAATTAATCCAGTCTTTCTGGAGCCACGGAGTTGGCATTTAGGCTTACAGCAAATTAGCCCAAATATCTACTTTTCCACACTAATGATTGCTATTTTTGCAGTGACTATCTGGACTACCATTTTTAGTAAACTAAGAGTCTAGAAAGAGGCAACGAAGATACAGTAATTAATTCCTGCTACTGAAGATATGTTACTAAGAGGTTCCTTCACGGGCTGGAGAGGTGGCTCAGTTAAGAGCACTGGATGCTCTTCCAGAGGACCTGAGTTCAATTCCCAGCAACCACATGGTGACTCACAACAGTCTGTAACTCCAGTCCCAGGGAATCCAATGCCCTTTTCTGGCCTTCGTGGACCAGGCATTCATGTGGTACGCAGACATGTAGCCAAAATACATAGAAAGTATTTTTAAAAATCAGAAAACAAATACTAAGTGTGCAACACACCCTATCCATCTCTGTTAATGAATGGGTTTGGCTGGGGGAAATGTTGCAAGATTGGTTGGTTGTGTTCAACTTGTGTTTGTTTGTTTCTCTGTCTGTCTCTCTCTGTGTTGTAGGTGTGTTTCTGAGTTGTATTTTTGCAACTTGGGTCTCCACAACTTATTTCTCATCCCTCAGTTGTATGCTTTCAAGGTGAAGTCCTTCTACAAATGAAGATCCAGGAAGGAGTGAAAGGGGCAGGAAGGAATCGAGTTGGTTAAAGCCGTATCCCTGGTGAGTGAGCTAATATTCCCTCTCACTGAAGTGAAGTCTTAAGGGTTTGGTGATGTTCGTTTCCCTTTGAAAGTTACTTAAGACTAGAAGCTTGGGACTTGTTTCCTATTTCCTCTGTTACTCACGAATGATGGAGCCATGGGGATGGACTCAACAATCCACTAATTGCCCCCTCATCTGAGAAAGACGGTACCTAAACCAGCTCTTTGTGTTCAGTCCTCTCATGGGCCTCGGAAGGTAGAAGAATCATCTCTGGGGGAACTCTGAGAGTGATAGTCTATTAGAAATATGGCGAGGCACCAAGCATTTATATAGCAGGGTCAGTGCTTCCGGAAGAGGAAACTCACTGTGGGGTAGTGGGGAAGGGCCACTGATCAACTATATGATACAGTGGTGAATTAGAAAATAATGTCCCGGGCTGGAGAGGTGGCTCAGGGGTTAAGAACACTAGTTGGTCTTCCAGAGGTCCTGAATTCAATTCCCAGCAACCACATGGCGCCTCATAACCATCTGTAATGAGATCTGGTGTCCTCTTCCTACCTGCAGGCATGCATGCAGGCAGAACACTGTATACATAATAAATAAAAAAAAATTTAAAAAATGTCCCTTCCTCTAAGCTAGTGTAGGTCAAGACAGTCCATACAATGTGGCATGAAGTCTGTATTAGTTTCTTTTTGTTGCTGTGATAAAATACCAAAAAGCAACTTATGGAAGAAAGGGTTTATTTTGGCTGATGGTTCTAGAGGAGCGAGTCCATCATGGCAGGGAGGCGTGGGAGAAAGAGGCAAGAGCAGGGCACTGAAGTGGCGCGTGCCAGCCGCACATAGGGAGTGCACAGAGTGCGCCGGAAATGGCGCGTGCCAGCCGCACATAGGGAGTGCACAGAGGGCGCCGGAAGTGGCGCGTGCCAGCCGCACATAGGGAGTGCACAGAGGGTGCCGGAAATGGCACAAGGCTGCACACTTTCAACGCTTGTCCCCCGCGAAATGCACTTCCTTTAGAAGGCTCTACTCCTAGCCGGGCGTTGGTGGCGCACGCCTTTAATCCCAGCACTCGGGAGGCAGAGGCAGGCGGATCTCTGTGAGTTCGAGGCTGGGCTAGACCGACAGCCTCCAAAACAATACAGAGAAACCCTGTCTCGTAAAAAACCAAAAAAAAAAAAACCAAAAAAAAAACTCCATCAACTAGGGGGTCAGGGTTCATTCATTTTATTTTGTCTCCTGGCGTCCTTGGTGAGGGATCTTTGTGAAGGATATAGCAGCTCAGTTAGACTCACTGCTGAGGGGGAAAGTGCTAGAAAGGACTTGGGTTCCCTGGGCTGTATCTGGAATGAAGTATTTTTCCATTTCAAAAGTATGTACAGCATAAGCAGGCAGCACCGTATAGTGCGTATCTCACCTAGGTCACTCAGTTTGGTGCAGTTTCTTGCACACATTCTTCTTATTTGTTTATTTTTTATTTTTTGACACAGGGTTCCTCTGTGTAGCCCTGGCTCTCATGGAACTTGCTCTGCCGACCAGGGTGGCCCCGCACTTACAGAGATCCTCCTGCCTCTGCCTCCAGAGTGCTGGGATTAAAAGGGGGTGAGCCCACAGACCTGAGCTAAGACTTTGCTTGTGTTGTTTTAGGGCTTAGTGACTTTCACAGATGAGTATGGACGGCTGAGTCTTGCCCGGAGGAGTTTGTACGAAGGCGATGCTGGGCGACTGCAGGAACTTGGTGGCCGTGGGTAAGGGTAGCACTGGCACTTACTGTGACTCAGTATCTCCTCAGGCCTTTTCCGTCTTCCAGCACTGTCCCCCTTCAAGACTGCTGGTTCTCAACCTTCAGGTCACATGACCTCTTAGTGGAGGATCTAATGAGCCTTTCACGGGGTTGCCTTAGAGCATCGGAAAGCACGGGTATTTTACATTAAGATTCATAACAGTGGCAAAATTACACTTAGGAAGTAGCAACGAAGACAGTTTGATGGCTGGGGTGGGGGTTACCACAACATGAGGAACTATGTGACAGGGGTCGCAGCGTCAGGAAGGTTGAGAGCCGCTGGCTGATTCAGACCAACCGTAGCTCTTGCTTACAAACTTCACTGCCGACTTTCACATCTTACATACAGGTCTTTGCATTTTTAAGCCAGATGTGGTCCCGTTACTGCAGCGAGAGAAGGAGCCGTGGGTGATAGACAGGTGTCCGGAGGTCCGTGCCCAGGTGAGCGCATGATTATAGCTGGAGAAGTTACACTTGAGAGTTTCTTCTCTTTGCTGCTTGTGGGGAGATTCCTCTTAGATTCTCCCAGATTGATGTCGGCCGTTGTAGCGGTTTCTTCTCCACTGGTGTAACCTACCACATTTACCTTTATGTAGTTCCTACACATACCAAAGTTTGTTTGTTAACTTGTGTCCATCGATGTTTTCGTAGTTCCCATCAGAGGGCGAGCGAGGAGGCAGTATTCTTCCCCGGTTTCTATTTCACTTCCTGCTTGGGTTCTTGTCCCGATTTCCCTCAGTGGTAGACTGTGACCGGGAAGTATAAGCAGAAATAAATTCTTTTCCCTCCTAAGTTGCATTTGGTTGGAGTGTTTTATCACAGCAATAGAAAAACAGGATAAGTAAGCATCTAATCCAAGCCAAAATAAGTTGTAAATAATCATTGGCATTTCCAGAGATCAAAGTAGGAGTGAATGGGTTGGAAATCTAGAGCTCTAATAAAATTCAATGTGTATGTCTTTAAGAAAAGGAATAAAACATAAACAGGACAAATAAGAGAAAATATGTAAAGCCACAAACATAAAGGACTTAAAAGAATCACATGAAAGCCAGGCGGTGTCAGCACACACATTTAATCTCAGAGCTTGGGAGGTAGAGTTCGAGGCCAGCCTGGTCTACATAGTGAGTGCCAGGACAGGCTCCAGAGCTACACAGAGAAACCCTGTCTCGAAAAACTACAATAACAAAAGAGAATCATATGAAGGTCTAGGGCGTGGGTTAACCTATTCAAGGCCAATGATCCCCCAATGACCCCCCATCCAAATAAATGAAGTAGAGCAACATGAATCTGTTTTCCTCAGCTCTCTGTCATGAATCTGAAAATCGAGTTGATTGGGTGGTATTTTAGGAGAACACAGAGGTGTAGATGAACATGACTGATAATATAAGAGATAGGACAAAAAGCAGTACAGAAAGTTGTTTATGAACTGCCACCCCAAAAAGAGAAAAAGTCACAGTCTCGTTTCACCAGTCAATCCATAGAACCTTTAAGGAAAAATATCCTGCACATTATTATTTACGCTGAAATTTGGGGTAAGTAGTAAGAAAGAAAGTTATAGTCAGAGAGACTTGTTGCTCCTGCAGGGGACCTGAGTTAGGTTCCCAGCGTCCATTTGGTGGCGCACACTAACTCCAGTTCTGATGTACTCTTCTGGCCTCTTCAGGTACCAGGCACACATGGGGTACATATATGTATGTGCAGAGAAGACACTCATACACATAAAGGTTCAAAAAACATTTTTAAGTAAAATGAAAAGGAGAGCTTCTAAAATAGTTGTTCAGGAATACAGCTTGTTATTTGATAACAGTTTACCAAAACCACCAAAAATGTAAGTTGCAGAAAAATTCCACCTACAAATATTGGTACAAAGAAAAGACTGTATATAATATTGACATTACGGCCAGTGGTGGTTTATTCCTGGTATGCATGGATGGTTGTGGCATCTCATTTTATTTAAGAAATAGTAAAAAACACAGACCTCTTCTGGGCTTCAATAATCACTTGATGTGCAGGGTTCCTTCCTAGCATTTATTAAAGGAAATGTCTGTCAATATCTTTCAGACCAGGAGTACATGTGGCTGACTAAAGAATTATGTCTAAATCAGGATATTTATTCATGTATTTATTGTTTTTTTTTTTTAAGACAGGGTTTCTCTGTGTAACAGTCCTGCTGTTCTGGAACTCACTTTGTAGAGCAGGCTGGCCTTGAACTCACAGAGATCCGCCTGCCTCTGCCTTTGGAATGATGGGATTAAAGGCAAGTGCCACCACTGCCTGGAACATTATGAAGGGAAAATTTCCTACACAATAATTGTGAAAATACTTACAAAGTATGCTCTGCAATGTTCCCCATTAGGTAAAAACTGGAAATATAAAAAGTTGTTTGAAGCCTGGCAGTGGTGGCACACTCCTTTAATCCCAGCACTCGGGAGGCAGAGGCAGGCGGATCTCTGAGTTCGAGACCAGCCTAGTCTACAATCGCTAATTCCAGGAGAGCCTCCAAAGCCACAGAGAAACTCTGCCTTGAAAAATCAAAAAACTTGTTTGAAATCGAGTCAGTCAGAAAACATATTTTAGACATGAGACGATCACTCATATACATACCTTTATTGTGAAAAGAAACCACTACCAAGTCTGGGACAGATTTCCATATGGATTCATTATCTTATCTAACAGATATTTTCCCCCCATGGAGGAGGGAATATACACTTTTGGTACAGAAAAGAAAGTACATTCAATTATGAAAAAATACAAACAAGACCTTGGAGAAAAACAGATAAAACGTAACGACTTTTAGAAAAACGTTTAACAAAATAGCAATCCTAACTCCTCAGCAGAGAATTCATACCGGGGAGGAACCCTGTGAATGTACTGAGTGTGGGAAAGCCTTCAGCCAGAGTGCCCATCTCGCTCAGCATCAGAGAATACACTCAGGTGAAAAGTCCTGTGAATGTGCTGGTTATGGGAGGGCATTCAGTCAGAACACTCATCCAACACCAGAGAATTCGTACTGGGGAGAAGCATTACCAATGTAAGCAGTGCAGTACAGTCTTCAGCCAGCTGGCACACCTACCTCCACATCTGGTCCATACTGGAGAGAAACCTCACGAATGTAAATGCTGAAGAGCCGTCAGGCATCCCTTTCTCATTCCCATGCCCCAAGCCCTATTTTCAGTCTTTGAAATGCCTTTTTTCAGTCCATGCTGTATCATGATAGTGCAAGACACAGCTGTGTTTCTGTGATAATGTGAAACTGTCGTTCACCTTGTGCCTCAAGTGCTTTTTAGCACTATACCCAGTTTTATCTGTTAAAAACATGTGACCGTGTTTCATTTCCATTTAAAATACTTTCTTTGAAAAAGAGACACATTTTAAAGGCTTACTACACGATGCTGGGTGTATACCTAGTGCTAAATGAATGTTAGCTATCTGTTGAAGTACACATTTTCTTGGATTGCTGTGGTGGCGCACGCCTTTAATCCCAGCACTCGGGAGGCAGAGGCAGGCGGATCTCTGTGAGTCTGAGGCCAGCCTGGCGTACAGAGAGAGTTCCAGGAGAGCCAGGGCTACATGGAGAAACCGTGTCTGGAAAAAACAAAATTAAAGAAACAAAAAGGAAGGCAGGATGTATTTTTTATATTTTGGATTTATGTGTATGATTGTTGAGATCTAATTCACATACCATGTAATTTCATATAAGCCCCTGCTCACCATACACTCTGTGTTGCTATCAAATGTGAAAAGGAGCATAGGGCTCCACTTAGCAAGCGTGCAATTCAGGGTGGAGACGGCTCATCGGTTAAGAGCAGTGGCTGCTCTTCTAAAGGTCCTGAGTTCAATTCCCAGCACCCACACGGAGGCTCACAATCATCTCTAGTGGGTTCCAGTGCCCTCTTCTGTCATAAAGAAGTACATGCAGATAGGACACTCATACATAAAATAAATAAATCTTGAAATTTTTTTAAAGAGTGTGCATGCAATTCAGTGGCTCTTAGTGTATTCACAAGAGCTGTGCAACCATTTCTACAGTCAATTTAAGAATATTTTCATCTAGAGCCGGGCGCTGGTGGCACACGCCTTTAATCCCAGCACTCGGGAGGCAGAGGCAGGCGGATCTCTGTGAGTTCGAGGCCAGCCTGGTCTACAAGAGCTAGTTCCAGGACAGCCTCCAAAAGCCCCGGAGAAACCCTGCCTCGAAAATCAAAAAAAAAAAAAAAAAAAAAAAAAAAAAAAGAATATTTTCATCTAAGTAGTACCTTGTCCTGGCAGTTATCCAAGAGTGGGTAAGTTTCATTTGCATTTTGGGTGTGTGTGCGTGTGCGTGTGTGTGATGTGTATGTATGAATGAGTATGTGCATGCATAAAAATGTATGTGTGACACAACAGTGTGGAAAGTGGGAGGGTAACTCTCCTGAGTTGCTCTACTGCCACTTTGTGAGATCTGGGCATCTACCTCAGGTTAGTCAGGCCTTAAGACACCCTAACCTGTTGAGTCGTCTCACCAGCCCGAGTCATCTCTGGTGTCGACGGTGTTACTTAGTGTGCGGGGAGTGTCCAGGTTTCCTCGGCTGAATGTCAGATTTTCCCATTGCAGTAGGGAAGAGATGGGCTGACCAGACATCACTGGGACACTTCCCTCTCTAGAAAGACAGATTGGTGCTTTCACACTAGTGAGAGCCTTAAATGCTGAAGAGCAAGGAAAACTGACGGTGCTGCATCTGTGAGTAAAGGAAGCATTACAGGCAGCCCAGACGATAACACTGGTTCCTTGTAATTGATGTGACCACCAGATAATAGTGTCCGGTAGACAAAGACGAGACTGAAGACAGCACATGTAACAATGTAGTCTGTGATATCCAAAGGAACATTTCAGGGCTGGGATGAAGACAGCACATGTAACAATGCTGGTTTTATATATACAACTATGTTATCCATTTGAATCAGCATTCTTCACAAAGTGTACAAAGGTATGTGGGATAGCTTTTATCAACTTGATACAATCTTGAATCTCCTGGGAGGACGTTATCAATGAGGAGCTGTCATACACAGGCCAGCCTGGGGGACTGATCGCATTAATTGATGTGGAAATTCCTAGCCACCGTGGGCAGCACCATTTTCTGAGCTTGGGTCCTACCTGCTTAAATCTGGAGAAAGTGAACGGGACAGTAGGGATGTTTGCTGTCAGTCTTGCCTGCTCTTGTCTGTGGATGTGACGTGTCTTTTAAGTTCCTGTCACCTTGGGATTCTTGCTATTATTCTGTGATTCCTGGTGGTGTGACCCAGAGAGTCTGTGGCCTAGAGTTAATATCCTGAGTAATATTTTAATAAGTGTCCCTAACCGTGATAGTACTTGGAGAATTGCTGCAATTGTTAAAAGCTTGCAGGAGGAAGCAGAATACAGTGCTACCAACGTCAGCTGTGTGGAGGTATGGGGTACAGGA